GGGAGGGTGGAGGGACGGTGCAGGAGAGGAAGGCCCTCTATGAGGTGGATTGATTCAGTGACTGGGATAATTGGGATGGGAGTGTCAGAGACAGTGCTATTGGCACAGGACAGAGCGGAGTTTAGGGCTGTTGTACATAGGGTCGCTCTGAGTCGCAGGCGACTCGACGGCACATAACAACAACAACAACATGCCTTCAGAGCATCTTGAAGTTCTTCATTATCATTGGCCCTTGATCGTATGGTATCTCCTGATATATTTCAGTGTTGACCAATTCTTTTTAGTACAATGATTTTATGTACTTGAAGCTTGAATTTTTTTTCCAGTTTTTTCAGCTTAAGAAATGCTGAGCAATTTTTCTCTTTTTCCCCCTCCAATTTTACTAGTTCTCTGCACATTTCGTTACAATACTTTGCCTTCTCAAGCTGCCCTTTGAAATCTTCTGTTCAGCTTTTGTAAAAGAGACCCTAAAAATTGCTGTAGAACATCGAGTAGCCAAAACAAAGGGAAGAGATATTGGAGAAAAAAGACAGCAAATAGTAGATAAAAGAGAATTCTGGTGGTCTAGTGATAAGAAACAGCATTGCCAATCCAAAGGCATATGGTTCGAATCCACCAGCTAACTTCCATGGAAGACAGTTTCTTCCCGTGTGATTAACTGCGTTTGAAAACCCACTGGAAGCTCAACAACTGGTCGGCTCCCGCTGGGGTACATAACAACAGCTGGTGGCATAATCTGTAGCGAGATGTGTTTTTAACCTAAAGGCCTCACATATTCAGTGGTTTGAATCCACTAGTGTCTTTGAGGGAGGAAGATGCGCAATCTCCTCCCGTTCAATTTACAGCCTCTGAAAATCCACTGGAAGGTCAGTTATGAGTGGACTCCCATTCAATGGCACAGAACAGCAGCAGCATACTATTTTTACTTCACATGCATGTTAATTAGATGTAGGTTATGGGGGGCCATTGAAGAACCACCCCAAGCAAAGGAATCCTTTGATGCCAAAGGTCCTGGGCTTCTCAGACCTCAGACCTGCAGCTGGAAATCTCCTTGGTCTTTGAGCCCCTCCCGTCCCCGGAAGGACCACCAGAGGGCGCAATGGTTTTAGTCGCCATTGGTTGTGCGGGGAAACCTGCTTCAGAGGTGGCTTGGAGGGGTTCTGAGGACGCGTCCTTCAGGGTCAATTTGCGCATCCAGAGTGAAGGTTCAAAGGCGAAGTTTAGCAAGGCTAATCCGAACGGTGGGGGAGAAGTGCATGAGAAGCCTGTTCATTCATTACACATTTACTGAGCAAACCGGCCCGTGAGAGGAAGATTTGTTCACTGCCATTGAGAGAGGGACTAGTTCCAAAACCTTGTGAGATTTCATCATCATCTGGCTTGTTTCTGAAGAAATCGGGCAAGCCGATGTTCCAGATAAAGACGATAAAGACGGATTCAGAAGGGTTAAGCGACCAGATCACAGAGAGTGTAGATTTAGATTAGATTAGGTTGCCATAGCGGCCTGGACAGTTGAAGCGCCGGAGCATGTTAGGTCTGAGACTCTGGTCACCTTAGCGACGGGCTGGCAGTCACGTGATACGGGAACCTGAGGCGAAGCCGTAGAGGCGCGACAACTGACCCGCGACGGCTTCCGTACGCGGGCTGACTGTCACGTGCCGCGGGTTTGTATGCAGTCGCGTCCCCTAGTAGAATCAGATACCACGTGACTGGCTCTTGAGCAACATGGCGGCGGCCGTGGTGCACCGTCGGGGCTGAGCGGCGGCCAGTGCGCTCCGGGAGGGAGACAGGGCGGGAAGCAGCTCGCTCCTGCCGCCGGCATCACCTGAACTCCTCGCGCCCGTCCGCGCGCTTTGTCTGCCGGGCCGGGGAGCGTGCACCACCTTCGCCTGCCTCTCCTCCATCCTCTTTTCTCCAGCTTCCTCCTCTCGCAGGTGGCATCATCGGTGGGACCAGAGCGCGGGCGGGCGCGGCCCCCGGGGACCATGGCGGGTTCCGACACTACGCCCTTCCTCAGCCAGGCAGATGACACGGACGAGGGGCCCGTGCCCGGCACCCCAGGGCTGCCAGGGTCCATGGGGGCCCCGAAGTCTGGGGAGCCCGAGATCCTGGATCGGGAGGGCCTGCAGCGCATCACCGGCTTGTCATCGTGCCGTTCGGCTCTCATAGTGGCCGTGCTGTGCTACATTAACCTCCTCAACTACATGGATCGCTTCACTGTGGCTGGTACTGATTGTGCAGAGAATGACAGGCGAGGGGAAGGGAGCGGGGTCTCCAGGGCGGGGCAGCTGCACCTGGCAGGTCCTGAATCTTCTCCTTCCCAGGAGTCCTTCCTGACATCGAGCAGTTCTTCGACATTGGGGACAGTAGCTCCGGCCTCATCCAGACGGGTGAGTAGGGCCGCACACTGAGCGCACAGCAGGGCTTTTTTCTACTCTTTGTAGTTGGAGCCGCCAGCTGGCGTGCTTGGGGCCTCGTTAATGGGGATCTAGTGACCAGAGTCACTGTAAGTTGAAATGGACTCGAGGAAGCTCTCAGTGATGCAGTGACGGGAAGCTGGTTATCCCCCCCCCCAGACTACTTCTGATGGAAAACCCGTGGGGACAGTGTTCTTCTGTCCTGTAGGATCCCTATGAGCTAGAATCCTTGCGTTGCATACTGACAGTGACCAGAGCTAGAGGAGGCAGTGGCAGGATTGTGCTCTGGGGCTGTCCTGTTCAGTTGGGATGCTGAGAGTTAGTTTTATGTAATGAATAAGACAGACCGGAGTTTAAATGTCAACTTTTCCTACTCGCTGTGTGATGGTTGGAGGGCATTTACCATAAGCCTCACTTTTCTTCCTCTTTAAGTTGGGATCAATACCAGATACCTCACAGGGCATGTGTGAAGATAAAAAGATGTAAAGTGCCTAGTTGGCTCCTGGTGGGCACTACATAAATAATGGCAGGAGTGTGTTTAGAGTGTTGTCAGATTGGAAACCGTAGCTGACCCTTCTGACGTTGTCAGGGGTTTTAAGTCCTCGTGGAGAAGATTTTCCGCCTTTTACGTTCACGAGCAGCTGGGAGATTCAAACAGCCTGCTCTTGGGTTAGCAGCACAACTTTCTATCTGTTAGAACTTGGGAACTTGTGGGACAGGTAAAGCCAGGCCAAATCCCCTTTCCCTGTTTCAGAACCCAGAAAAAGCAGTGATCAGATCTGTAGGACGTTGTTGTGTCCTTTTATGCTTGTAGTCTTCTTATGCTTCCATCAGCTCAAGGGAGCCTTGTTATTTGTCCGTTTTATAAGAAAAATAGGCCTCTCCAGACTGAGGCTTGGAAAAAGAGTTAAGACTTGCCCAGAGTCAATGTATTAGAGGTAGATGAGAATTTGAAACCCACTTGGTGGTTTCTCCACTCTTGACTAACAAGGAATTGGAAGTATTTAAGGTCAAGTCTCAAGAAATGAGGATGCAGTTATAGACCAAGTTCTCAAAACTGCTGAAGAATTGTTAAGAGAACTAAGTCATTCTAGGCAACCCCATGTATCTTTTTTTTTTTTTTCATTTTTACTGAGCACCTAATTTGAGAGTAAAGAGTTGTGTCACCTCTGTAAAGGCAGGCACTTTGAATCCGCCAGCTACTGTGCACGAGAAAGGTGGGCGGGGCATTCTATCCTCATGTGATTTACAGCCTCTAAAAACCCAGCGGAGGATCAGCTATGAGTCTTTTCCCGCTTGATGACGCATAACAACAACAACAGTTTTGTGTTAGATAATAGACTGTGTGTTCAGGCAAGGTGTTGTCCCCCATGAAGTTGACATTTTACCGGGAATGATAGGACAACAGTTCATATAAGATACTTTTCTACAGAAATAAGCGTTGTGTAAAAGAAAACAGTGCAATAGAGAGGGCCTAAGTGTGTGGTGGTCTGGGGAGGGATCAGAGCTGAAACCTGAAGCAACTAAGCCCTGTGAAGCTCAAAAGAGAAGAGAATGTTCCAGATAGGACAGCAGAACCAATATCCTTAAGATAGTATTGATGCTAGGGAGCTCTGGTGGCCAGCGGCAAGAAACTGCACTGCAATCCCAGAGGTACGCAGTTCAAATCCACCAGAGGCTCTGCTGGAGAAGGAGGGGCAATCTCCTCTACCAGTAAGATCTGATTTGACGGCACACACACAAAAATAATAAAATTGTTTAAAAAGATAGTATTGATGCTGTTATAAAATGGGACTGATGTGGGGGGCTATGATGAGAGTAGGAAAAGAGTGGATAAATAATGAACACTACTGCATTGGAACAGATGGGGAGAAGGATCTGAAAGGAATATAGGATTAGGCATTATATGTATGACAGCAATCTAGAACAAGAGGAGGTGCATTGCAGAGAGAACTGGAGGAGGGAGAGAGGGAGAAGGAGGGAAGAAAATGTGTAAGAATCAATGAATAAAAAGAAATAAAAGAAGAAGATCGTGTTGAGTTTGGGAAGTCGTAGGAACGGAGTGAAGGCCATCAGTGTGTGTGCACGCGCGTGAGAGGAACTGGATGAGGCATGAGGTTGGCAAGGTAGAGAGGAGCTGAACGGATCCATCCGGCATTGGGAGCCGTGGGAAAGAGCTTAGGTTTTGTTCCTGGTTGGGTGGAAGGATGAGACAAGCCGGCTGGACCATCTCTTGTACATGGAAGGTCTGGAAAGGTGTTGGAGCTAGGCCTGAGTGATCTCCGTGGGTTCGGGGCTGGAGTGAGGGTCGCGGTCTGAAGGGTGGGATGATGGGGTGATCTTACTCTGGGTTGTCCCTCGCCTGCCCTCTGTCTGCTGAGCTGGGGGGCACGGCAGGGTTCCGGGGCTGGGCTCTGACTCTCTGTTGCCCTGCAGTGTTCATCTCCAGCTATATGGTGTTGGCACCTGTGTTTGGCTACCTGGGGGACAGGTACAATCGGAAGTATCTCATGTGCGGGGGCATTGCCTTCTGGTCTCTAGTGACTCTCGGATCATCCTTCATCCCCAAAGAGGTGAGGCCCCACGGTGGCCCCGGCCCTCCCTTTTGTTGCTGCTGCTTGACATCTGGGTCTGGGGAACTTCCCAATCCCTTAGTGGGTGACCTCTTACCCTTCCTCCTTACCTGGGTTAATCGGCACATCCCCTTCCTCTCCCTTTTTCTTCTAGAATCTTTTTCCCTTTCACCACCCCCTTTCCCCTGACCACTGACTTCTTCCACCCACATCTGAACACCCTCCCGTTTCTGACCATGAAGACTTGGTTGGACCACAGTCCCTTTCCCCGACATCCCCTCAGTTTGAGTTCTTGCAAGGCCCCCTCATGCTGGGCGCCAGTGTGGGTAAAGGAGCAGCTGGTCCCCTCGGCCTGAGCATCGGTGCCAGTGTGTCCATTGAAGCTGCTCTTGCCGAAGTCACCAGTGACCTCCTGGTTGCTAAATGCAGCTTCTACGTCCTGCTCCTGTTCTGGCTCCTGGCTCTACTGACCCGCTTCTTTCTTCCTGAAACTCTCTAACTTCTGTGACCCTGCTCCACTTTGTTCCTGCCTCTTTGGTGGTTGTTTCTCTGCTCCTTTGACAACTCCCGCCTGTTCTCCCTGCCCTGTCTTTAGCTGCAGGCACTGCACACTTCCCCTGGAGGGTCAGGGATTTGCTGTTCCTACTCCAGGTCTCTTGAGAGGACAAATGAACCCCACTGCAGATTGTAATTCATTCTTGGTCGCCTGAAGGGAGTAGGCTACTAGAAACTGAGATTTCTTTTGTACCTATATGAGGTTGTTGTTGATTGCCTTCGAGTCAAGCACGACTCATAGTGACCCTATAAGCAAAAGGCCTGAAGCCCCCTCTTCAACCATCGACATTTATCAAAGTTCATAGAGTTTCCGGATGCATGTTGTTTAGGAAGTGGATGCCACTCCTGATATGTACCTGTATGGGGTACAAAGTAATAAATAGCCATTTTATTTTCTAATCTTCCCAACAGCTGTGTGAACAAAGTAGTAGTATTCTATTTCTGCCGGTGAGAATACTGAGGCTCAGAGAGGTTAAGTAGCTTTCCCAGAGTCACCCCTAGTCAGGAAGTGGGGAGCCAGGATTCAAGCCCAGGTCTGTGTGATGCTAAAGCCAGGTTTCCAGCCGTCCCTGCCACCTCTCCAGAGGCCGGCTGGTGAGGCCGGCTGGAAGGCTCGCTGGGAGGCCGGCTGGTCAGGCTGGCTGGGAGGCTGGCTTCAGGGAGGGCTACTACCTGCCTTTTCCTGTCTTGTTCCCCAGCGTTTCTGGCTGCTCCTCCTGACCCGGGGCCTGGTGGGGGTCGGGGAGGCCAGTTACTCCACCATCGCCCCCACGCTCATCGCCGACCTCTTTGTGGCAGACCAGAGGAGCCAGATGCTCAGCGTGTTCTACTTCGCCATTCCTGTGGGCAGGTGAGTGAACCTGGGCCCTGGCTGGGGACGGGGGGCCTGGCCGGGGATGGGGGCCCTGGCCAGGGATGGGGGGCCTGGCCGGGTACGGGGTGCCCAGTGTCAGAAGCATACCTGAATGGCTGTCCCCCATTCCCTCTCCTCTTCCCCCACCCCTCCAGTGGTCTGGGGTACATTGCAGGCTCCAAAGTGAAGGACATGGCCGGGGACTGGCACTGGGCCCTGAGGGTGAGTCTATTTGTTGCTTTCTCACCAGTCTCCTTTCCTTCCTTCACATCCCTCTGTTATGAGGAAGAGAGACCTGGCTGCCCTCACCGTGAAGCCACGGGCTACACAGAAGTCTCAGTTGCAAGTGACAGGAGCTCACTGTAAAACTGGACGGCCAAAGAGGGGGCTGTGCTGGCCCTCATGACGGGCAATCCTGCCGGCTTCCGGCTCCCACTGTCTCAGGACTTCGATTCAGCTGCTTCTTGCTTTTCTTACCTCTGTGTTAGCTTCATGCTCCACCAAGTGAAGGCTTTAAGCTAATACCTTTGCATTGAGAAACTGTGGCTCCCTGGGGCCTCTGCAGTCGTCCTGGGATGGAATCTGGTGGGGTCAGCATGGGCCACTCACCTGCCTAGCACAGGAACCATGCATTCTATGCTCATTGGCCACACCTGCATTTATACTCACCCAGCCCTATTTTTATCATTTGCATTGAGAGGAGAAGGTGCGCTCAAAGTTAGTTCAACTGCTGTCACCAGATGGAATGAAAGTTAAACTTATAGGAACAGGGTGGTCCCTAGTGGCATCCGGCGCCCCCTCCAACTGCAGGTTCAGCCTCCTTAAACCCCAGTTGTTGATAAGTGCCCCGTCTCTCCATCTCCAGCATTGGGATCCCTTTAGAAAATTGCTAGGAAAAGCTAGTCCTTGGAGAAGCACATGCTCTGAAAGGTGGTGGACAGCAAAGGAGAGGAAGACCCTCAACCAGGTGGATTTGCACAGTGACTGCAGCAGTGGCCTTGAATGTGTCAGAGATGATGATGGCGCAGGATAGGACAGGAGTCAGGTCTGTTCTAGGGTTGCCATGAGTCACACCGGACTCGACAGCACCTAACAATAGCAGCAGCACTGTCTTCACCTGTCACGAAGCCCACTCTTTCTCCAGGTGACGCCAGGCCTGGGAGTGGTCGCCGTCCTGCTGCTCTTCCTGGTCGTCCGGGAGCCACCAAGAGGAGCCGTGGAACGCCGCTCGGACTTGCCACCCCTGAACCCCACCTCGTGGTGGGCAGATCTGAGGGCTCTGGCAAGAAAGTTAGTTGAGCCTCGTCCTTTTGCAAGAGTTAAGGCCGGGAGGGGGACCCTGACCATCTGGTTGGTCCTTGTTCTGTTTTCTGCCAGCGGGGTGATTCCTCAAACCTAGGGATTCTCTCACCACTGCCCCCATGTGGCAATTTCTCGGATTACAGGCCCAGGAGCCCGGACAGGACAGGGTCACCTCCCCTCCTAGAGTCCTAACCTTATGAAATGCTCAAGTCGGGAGAACCTTAAAACAGGAAGGGCAAACAAGGGTCCTGACTCCTCACTGGGGTCTGGTCTTGCTCTCTCTCATGCAGTCCTAGCTTCGTCTTGTCGTCCCTTGGCTTCACGGCTGTGGCCTTTGTCACGGGCTCGCTGGCACTGTGGGCTCCTGCTTTCCTGCTTCGCTCCCGTGTGGTCCTGGGGGAGACTCCCCCCTGCCTCCCCGGAGACTCCTGCTCCTCCTCCGACAGGTTGGCAGGTGGTACAGGTGGGGCAAGGCGGGTGGGCTGCAGGGGCAGGGGTGGAGTGAAGAGAGGTCAAGTTCAAACTCAGGTGGAGTAGAATTTAAACCCTCCGTCTATACTTCTCCCAGCTGTGAAACAGCTGACCATGGCAGTGTGCCTGCTTCCTGGCGCTTTGACTCTAGGCCGCCTAGGTGTGGGTGGACAGGCCTTCGGGGGCGAGGCTGGGTGGTTTTACAGCCCACCTGTCCCCTGACTCCCCCCAGCCTCATCTTTGGGCTTATTACCTGCTTGACCGGCGTCCTGGGTGTGGGCCTGGGCGTGGAGGTCAGCCGCCGCCTGCGCCGCTCCAACCCCCGGGCTGACCCACTCGTCTGTGCTGCCGGCCTCCTCGGCTCCGCGCCCTTCCTCTTCCTGTCCCTCGCCTGTGCCCGAGGAAGCATTGTAGCCACTTATGTGAGTAGCCAGCAGGTGCCAAGGATGTGTTCCAGGTCCAGGGTTGGGGGGGACGGGACCCTGGGGGCGGGCTGAGGGGCGGCCAGCAGAGGGGAAGAGCCAACATGGCAGCAGGAAGGCCAGGCTGTGTGCTCGGCTGGGCCCCTTCCCCAGGCCACTCTGGGGTAAGGTCGGTGCTCGGCTCCTTGTCTGTCAAACAGGAGTAGTGGTACCTCCTCAGGTGTTGTGAGACGCTAACATGCTAGTGGAGGAGCCTGGGAATTTCTCTGTGGTGATGGGCCCTCCCTTCTCCCCTCAGATTTTCATCTTTATTGGGGAGACACTGCTGTCCATGAACTGGGCCATTGTGGCTGACATTCTGCTGGTGAGTGGCAGGCAGCCCCAGAGGCTGATGGAAGCAGGGAGCACGTTAGGAGGCCCTAAATCTACCCCAGAGTGATCTTGGAATTCAGCTCCAGGTGTCCTTGTGATCCTGGCTCGTGACTTCAGTCACAGCTCCCAGCCAGGGTTCACCTCTGACCCTGGCCTTGCTCAGCCCTGGCCCTAGCCTTGTCTTTCATCGTCTGCTTCCCCTGGGGGAGCCTGCCCACTGAGACACACCCCTCTCTCCCACCCGTAGTATGTAGTGATCCCCACCCGGCGGTCCACCGCGGAGGCCTTCCAGATTGTGCTGTCCCACCTGCTGGGCGACGCGGGGAGCCCCTACCTCATCGGCGTGGTGAGCAGTATCCCCTGGCCAGGGCTGGGACTGGGCCAGGGCTGACGCCTGCCTGCACTCCTAGGACGAGCCCAGTGAGATTCCGTGTCCCCTCACCTTGAGCTCAGCTGGACTGAGAGGCCATGGGCTCTGATGATGATCTCCCCCAGTGAGGCTCTGTCCTCCTTTCCCAGAGTCCAGGGGCTCTCCACTGACCACTCCCTGTCCCCTCTCCAGATCTCGGACCGCCTGCGCCGGAGCTGGCCCCCGTCCTTCCTGTCTGAGTTCCGGGCCCTGCAGTTCTCGCTCATGCTCTGCGCCTTCGTTGGGGCTCTGGGCGGAGCGGCCTTCCTGGGCACCGCCATCTTCATAGAGGGTGACCGTCGGCAGGCCCAGCTGCACGTGCAAGGTTGGTTTTGGGCCCCTGTCTGTTCACAGCCCCCTGCCCACCTGTGACACTGCCGGCCTGTCTTTCTACTGTCTGCTCAGCCCCACGGACCTGGCTTCCCTCCCCTCAGTCAGCTCGGGCTCTTCTTCCCCCAGGCGTGCTGCACGAGGCTGGACCCACAGATGATCGTATTGTGGTGCCCCAGCGTGGCCGCTCCACCCGGGTCCCCGTGTCCAGCGTGCTCATCTGAGGGGACCTTTCTCACCTGTCTGCACACCGCTGCACCTGGCCCAGCCTCATCCTGGGAGGGGTCTAGGCCTGAGCGTTCAGTCCGACTCTGCTCTCCTGAGGGGCCCTGGACCCCATTCCAGCTTCCAGACACTCACTACACAGGCAGCCGAGGGGACGAGGGAAGCTTAGGACTTGAGGTGGGCGTCCCCTCCACTGGGGCCGCCCCAGGGGCTTGGTGCTATTTGTAATTGAATAAAATTTGTAGCCAGACCCCAAGTGCCTGCTTGAGTCTTTCTGTGGGTGCTTTCTTGGCGGGCATGCTGTCCCCTCCCCAGCTCTATGTCCCAGTACCATCAGGGGCCCTGCCCTCAGCCTCGGGAAGAGAAGGGACAGTTCTCTGAGTGAGCTGGCTTAGTGTGACCATGAGTCACCCACGCCCGTGTTGTCCCCCAGGTCCCGCCTCTCTTGACAGGCAGGTCTGGGTAAGGTGGGGGTGGCACTGACTCGGGCACCTCCAAATTGCCAGTGTGGGAGACGTCCAGCCCACTGCGTCCTCCAGTCCGAATGTGGGAAGGTCAGGCTGCTGGCCACCCAGCAGGGGTCTTCCCCCATTGTCCCACTTGGAGAGGCCAGCAGATCCTCCGTGAGGGATGAGTGAGGGCCTCGCCCCGCTCCCCAGCTGGGGGTGGGAAGGGGCGGGTGCAGCCGGCGGGGGGGGACCCGATGATTTCCTGCCTTCACCCAGCACTTACCACAGCTTCCTGCCACGGGCGGGCAGGCGGGCGCTGGAGGAGAGGCGGCGTGGAGCTGAGGCACAGGTAACTGGGGGTACGGGACCATGCAGGGGCCGCCTGGAGCCCCGGACCCCAGGCTTGGCCTGACAGCCCGGGAGCCCAGGGCCTTCCAGAACCAGTGCTGAACAGGCATTCCTAGAAGAGAAAGGGACCTGGGGAGCCCCTAGGAGGGCACCCCTATCCCTCAGCAGGCTCCCCAGCCCAGAGTCCCACTGGGTGTGCCCCAACTGAGCCTTGGGGTGGTTCTGCCTTTGGGGCGCTTCAGGGGGTAGCAAGGCTTGGTCCGGTCTTTCTCCAGATGGAGACGACTGTCCCCGTCTCCACTGCGTTCGGCCTCCTGCTGCTGCCTGTCCTTGCTGTGCTGGTGACGGCCCTGTGTCTACGCTGTCGTGAGCTGCCGGGTGAGTGCGGGGCTGCGGGTGGAACTGGGCGCTTGGACGCAGGTAGCGAACCTCACTCCACCCCAGAGACTCTGAAGACGCCCTCTCGAGCACCCCAGCGCCCCGTTTTGTGCCTTACTGGCTATCTCTTCCCCAGGCTCCTATAACAGTGCTTCCTCAGACGGGTGAGTCTACCCTTTGTCCGCTCTGTGGCCCCCCTCAGCACCCCGCGGCGGGCTGGGCCCCAGGCTGGACGGTGGGCTGGGCACGGGGTGTTTCTGATCTCACCACACTGTGTGTGTCCCTCCTGCCAGTATGTACCCGAGCAGCATGCAGATCAAGCGGCCTTGTGAGTATGAGCAGGGCTCCGCGTCTGAGCAAGTGTGTCCCTTTGCTGAGGCCTCTCTGAGGCTGCCGCCTCGGTCTGTGCCTTGTACTTGACCTGAGCTGGGGTCAAGTGCATGGCTCTTGGGGAGGGAGAGGAGAGTCCTTGGGCCTGTTGGGGCACAGGGCATTCAGGGAACCTGGGCTGAGTGAGGGGGCATGATGTCCACAGTCATACACACTTGAGCTGGGTCCCGTCCTCAGACACTCTGGCTCCCTGGCCGCCATCATCCCTGACCCCCGTGGCCAATATCAACCCGCCGGCCAGTGTCAACCCACCTGTTAGCTCCTACCTACCCCTGAGCCAGCCAGACCTGCTCCCTGTTCCGTGAGTAGCCCCTCAGTCCTCTTGCCCTGAGAATGTATTCCCTGCCCTCTCGCTTCCCGAAACTGGGGGGCCTCTTGTTGCAAATTTCCTTGCCTTAACCTCCTTCCCGGTCCTGACCCTTGACTTCTGACTCCCAGGAGATCTCCACAGCCCCCCGGGGCCTCCCACCGGACGCCATCTTCCAGGCAGGACTCAGATGGCGGTGAGTGTGGGACAGGCCTGGGGACCTGGGGCTGGGCAGAGGACAGGCCTGCCCTTAGCCGACTGACTCAGTCTCTTTCTTGTCCCTTCTCTGAAGCCAACAGTATAGCGAGCTACGAGAATGAGGGTGCGTCGGAACCCCAGGGGCCCCAGCTGGGTGGGGAGGCTGGGGCCTGGCCTGGCCTGTGCTGACTCTTGTGTCACCCCCAGAGCTGCTCTGTGAGGACACGGATGAAGATGAGGATGACTATCCCGAGCGCTACCTGTGAGTGGCCGGCGGGGCTGGGGGGAGCCGAGGATGGGGTACCCTTGCTTACCGCCATTCTCCTTTGTCATTAGAGTGGTGCTTCCGGACAGCGTCCCGGCCGCCACCCCCAACGTGCCCCCAGCTCCTGTGCCCAGCGAGCCTGGCCTCCGAGACAGTGCCTTCTCCAGTGAGTCACCCCTCCCTCCTCGCCTGCTGGGCCGGTGTCCGCTGACCCCACTGTTCCCTCTGCGGCTGCCTCCTTGTCATTTCTCCCTCTCCCCGTTTTCTCTCTTCTCCCCTTCTAGAACTCCTGCCCGCCAGGGACTGGCCTTCCTCCTCTTTTCTGAGCCTCTTACCTTTCCTCTCCTCTTTGCTTTTTGTCTTGTTTTCTCGTCGAAGAGGTTTCCTGCACGTTATTTTCCCACGTCTCCTCCAGAAATCTCTCTCTCCTGCCCAGAGCTCGCTCTTGGTCTTTGCTCCTTTCTCGTAACCTCCTGTTTTTGTTTCGTGGGAGCAAAATCATCTTGGAAGGCTCTAAACATCTTGATTCTGAGTCGTCCTTTTTTTAAGTTTTCTTTTGCTCACTGTGTTGTCTCATTTCTTCTGAGCTGCTGGGTTCTTTGTTTTGATCTCATCCTGCATCTTGGAGACTTCACGCCATGTCTCATGACTGAGCCTCAATTCTCAGATGCTTTTTCTTTCTCTCTACTTGCCCTGAACTGTCTTCTTTTCATTCACCTACTAGGGATTAGCTGCCTCCACTGGTCACGTCTTAGGTGGCATGACACAAGGTAGACTGCAGTGGTGATGAAGGCTACCAGTTGTCGAGGGCTTTGGAAGAAGATAGACCATCTCTTTCTGAGAGCTCACAGCCATGAAAGACCCTGCAGAGCGGAATTCTGCTGACGTACCCAGGGCCACCATGAGTCGGAATTGACTTAATGGCAAACTACCAGTTCCTGGTTTACCCTGAGCCCCACCAAGACCTTTTCTTCAGCAGCGTGTTAAACCTCACGGCTCCCAGGGGTTCTGGAGGCTGTCCCTCCCCCACCCTGGGCCTCCGTCATCTTGTTTGCACGTTGGTAGAGTTTATCTTGTTAGCAGCCACTTGGTAGCACGTGCTCTGAGATGGGCTCTGTTCTGATAGTCACTCATTTGCTCTTAACGTTGTTGTTATTTGCCTTTGAATCAGGATTGTCTCATACCTGACCCTCCAGCAAGTTTTCATAGGGTATAAATTGAACGAGCTGAAGAAGCCCCTTTACCTTGTTATTCGCTCTAACAGAGGAGGAAACTGAAGGCACAGAGAGTTCAGGTCACTTGTCTTCAGTGACTTGGTTAGTTATGTCTGAGCCGGGATTTGAACCTGAAAAAGCTGTCTCCAAAGCCTGTCTTTTCCATATTTTCATGGAGGTAATAAGTCAACAGATAAACGAATGTCAGTGGGTATTGGGAGCTAGAGAGGGGCTGAGGCAGGGGCATACGATGGACAGAAGGTGGGTGGGCTGGCGCTTCTCCCTGGACAGGTGACATCGGAGCTGAGGCTGGCGAATAACGGGCCCAGCTGTGCCCCCCAGACCCGGAGGCTCTCCTCTCTTTCTCTCCTCTCCTCTCTCCTCCCCACGCTTGGCTCACCCACGTCCCCTCTGAGCGGCTCTTTGATTTCAGAGTCTCGGGGTCAGGGGACCCTCCTGCTGTCCCCACAATTTCACTCATTCTAGTTGTCACTGGTCGAGGTGACCCACTTCTCTCCACTTCCACAGCCTCCGTCTCGTGCCCAGAAGCCACCTGCTCAGAGATCCCTGCTCTGTCCCGCTGGGCCTAGCTGTGGAACGGCCTTAGGTCGCTGTGTTTCAGGGTTTTTTTCTGCTGGAGTCCTTGATGGCAGCTGTGGGAGCCCCTGGGTGTCTGGGACTCTGCGGGGCTGAGGCCGCTGTTACGGAGGTAATGGTGCTGGATGTTTTTCCTCCAGTGGAGTCTGGTGAGGACTATGTGAACGTTCCCGAGAGCGGGGAGAGCGCTGAAGCGTCTCTGGGTGAGTGAAGGCCCCCTGGCTCCCTCCTGGGGTCTCACTTCTCTCCCTCATCCTTTTTTCCCCAAGTGTGACCTGTCCACTGCCCCTCATCTTGACGTAACTCCTCCCCTGGTGTGACTTCACCCTCCCCCTCATCTTCAGTGCAGCCCCTTTGCCTCAGCTCCTCGAGTGGCCTGTGTCCCTGGCCCCCTTACCCTCTGTACGGGTGACCCACCCCAAGTATGATCCTACCCTTCAGACTTTAGTCTCGCCCACATCGCTCCCCCTTTTTCTGTGCACCCCTATCTCCCCACCCCGGCCCTTCATATGCCCTGCTCCCCTTTCGGTGTGGCTGTCCCTCCTCTGAGCTGTCCCCACAGATGGCAGCCGGGAGTATGTGAATGTGTCCCAGGAGCTGCACCCTGTGACGAGGACTAAGCCTGGTGTGTGCTATATTGGGGTGCGGCCAAGGGCTGGGGGGAGAGCTGCCCGAGGAGGTGGCTTTCCGAGCTAGAGATCAACCTCTTCCTCCCAACAGCCACCCCGAGCCCTGAGGATGAGGAGGACGGTGCCCCTGATTACGAGAATATACAAGATCTCAGTTGAGGGCCTGGTGAGAGCCCCTCCCATGCCACGTCCAGTCCCCAAGCTCCCGCCACCTCAGGCCTAGCATCTCTGACTCTGGAGCTGCTGCTGACCCCGCTGACGCCTGAACCCGTCACTTCGCTCCCACCCTATGGCGTTTCAGGTGAAGCTGGCCAGCCTTGCAGGATGGCAGAGCCAGGAAGCTGGAAGTGGCCCTGGGCCCCCCTACTGTGCCTTTATTCCAGCCCAACATCAGCCTGAGAATCTCCCCCTAACTTATTGTCACTTTGGGGTCCAGTCTGTGTTCCCCCAACACCCCGCACCTTCTGACACAACCTGAGAATGGACTACTCCGGCCGCAGCTCTACTCTTTGTCAAAGACTAAAGGCCAGTGTGGTCTGGAGGGAGTGCTCCTGGCTGTGGTGGGCCTGGCAGGAGAAGGTGGGATGTGCTGAGCATGAACGTGTGCGTCAGACTGTCGATAATCTGCATGTGCGTCTGTAGGTCGGCTGTGTCTGTGTGTGTCCATCCTTCTCCCCAAGGCTGGGTGCTGCCGAGGCGGCCAGCCCCGTGCTGTGTGAGTGAGGACAGGTGGGAACTTGGGCAGCCTGGCACACTGCCCGGGCACAGTCACATGAACTGGACACAGTGGATGAAAGGCCTCTCCCGAGTGGCGGGAGAGTGGGGTGAGGAGGACCACGCTGGGTGGGAGGAGTCTACAGCAACATCCTTTCCTGCTGGTCCTCCATCTCTCCATTCTTAACAAACAAGAGCTTTTGTAGTTCTTGCTTTTGTGGTTTTGAAATAAAACAGAGCCTAAAAACTGTGTAAACTGTGGAATGTTTTAGCCAACTAAAACCTAAAAGCTTGGTGCTTGCTGTGGACCTGCTCCCAGCTCCTCTCCTGTTGACCTGGGGGTTTTCCAAGGCTCGAGTTTCTATGGTCTTTCTCTTGCAGAGTTGCTGGTGGAGTTTGAACAGCCAACCTTCTTTTGCTTCGTTTTTTTTGCGTGACCGCAGACAGGCCACGTGGAGATCTGAAGACACAGTGTGTTGATGTCATTTTCTCTGGGCCACTGTTCATGTCTCTTAGTTTGGAAGATTCCTCTCTGGGATCCAATCCGTCCTCAGTAGGACCATCATCCCCACCATCAGGACCTGACTTTCTCCTGGGCGTCGTGATTGGTTCAGATACGGGCATGTGACACAAGCTGGACCAATGGAAAGTACCTTGGGGATTGGAGCAGGAAGTGATGGAGAGAAGTGCTCTCTTTTTTTTCAGTCTCACTAGAGTAAAGTAGTGCAGGAGTCAGTACCTGGCAAGACCACCAGTTAAGAAGCCAGTGGAGGAAGGGCAGAGAGATGGCCAAGGGCAGCTCCCTGGTGGTGTCATTGGAATCGCTGGGTTCAGTGTCACCTGAAGTGAGAACTCCTCCCCACTACCTGCTCCCAAGACACATGGGCCAATAAATGGCCATTTTCTCCCAACGACTTGAGGTTTCTGTCACATATAACCATAGCCCCGAGTGATACATAAAGTTGTTGGCAGTCCTCTGCGCACCCCAAGAGGTGTGGACAATGCTTCTCTTTATGACAACCTGCCAGCCGTCCGTGCTGATCACATTTCATCATCGTGGCATCCCCAGTTGTGGGTCACTGTTATGATCCCACTTTGCTGAGAGGAAGCACAGGTTCAGGGAGGTGACCTGACTTGCCCAGAGGCATGAAGCTGAAGAGGCAAAGCCGGGGTGGGATCTGTAGCTCTTGGCCTTTCGTCCCGGGCTGCTGCTGTGCTTGCCAGCTTCCTTGTTTGTTCTGTTTGTTGTGCGATGCGCCAGCAGCCAGAGAGCTTGTAAGAGGCTGGTTTGGAGAAGCTGGAGGTAGGGAGGGCCTGGCAAGGGAGCTGGAGAGGCTTCCCATAAACAGGTCAAGTGGAGTCAACTTGGGTGGAAGAAACAGAAATGGGCAGAGGTGTCAGTGCCTGTTCTGAGGACCGCAGAATGGCTCACTGAGGTGTGTTAGTGTAACCATGTGGAGAAAAGTCTAGTAACAGAGCAAAGCAGAAGGTGTGCATTTCTCCAGTTTGGCAAATTCCTTGGTATAAATCCTCCCCAAAAAAATCCTAGCTATTGAGCTGTGGTGCTGGAGAAGAGTATTGAATGTTCCATGGACTGCCAAGAATACAAACAGATCCATCCTGGAGAGGGTTAAACTAGTCTACTCCTTGGAGGCAAGGATTCTGGGGCTTCGTCTGACATACTTTGGACATGTTGTAAGGAGAGACAGGTCCTTGGAGAGGGACATCATGCTGGGTAGAGTAGAGGGACAGCGCAGGAGGGTAAGATCCTCTATGAGGTAGATTGATTCAGTGACTGGGGTACTCGGGATGGGTGTGTCAGAGGCAATGAGATTGGCACAGGATAGAGCACGGTTTAGGGCTGTTGTACGTAGGGTCGCTATGAGTTGCAAACAACTTGACGGCACATAACAACAACAACAACAACAACAACACTGGACTCACGGAGGTGGTTATAAGACAAGGCAGAAAGCAAAGCAAGTGTTTTATTTACGTAAAGCTGTAAACGTGAGAAACAACATGTGTTGTTCGCTGATGCACATACGCGTGAGAATATCAGGACTGGTGTGGGAATGGTGAGCACCAAATTCAGGATGGTGGTAGCCTTGACCTTGGCCGTGAGAGGAGAGTATGGAGGCTGGGGTGCCTACAGAAGGCCTCCGTGGTATTTGAATGCCTGACTCTTAAGCGGGGTGGGGCACGTGAGTGTTTGACATATTATTCTGTAAGTGTATGCACATCAGATTTATTGCATAATAACAAAGAGTGGAGAGTGGAGCTTTGTATTAACCCTCCTGGGCAATCCCTGGAGAATTAGAAGCTGAGAAAGACTCAGGTTTGTAGCAAATACATCTGCCTTGAAGTGAGGTGAAGGATGGTTGATGAGGTGGGTAGATGAGAAAGTAGAGAGACTACGGAGGAGGGTCTTGGAGAAAACTCTGTGAGAAATGGTGGCAGGAGGAATGGACGGAAGTGTCAGATATTTGAAGAGTAGAATAAACAGGACACAAGGAAAGGTTGGCTATAGCTGGGAGGGCTGGGGAGAATTTAGGGTAATTAGGAGCTCTGGTGGCCTAGTGTTAAGAAGCTGCACTGCAATCTCAAAGGCACGTGGTTCGAATCCACAGCTGCTCTGCAGGAGAAGGATGGGCAATCTTCTGTGTGATTTACAGACTCTAATAATTGGGATGGGAGTGTCAGAGACAGTGCGATTGGCACAGGACAGAGTGGAGTTTAGGGCTGTTGTACATAGGGTCG